TGAAAGAGGGGAAATTCAGGCTAGATGTTAGGAAGAAAACTCTTTAAGTGTGAGGGTGGTGAGACACTGGAACAGATTGCCCACGGAGGTTGTGGATGCCCCAACACTGGCAGTGCAGAAGGCCAGATTGGATAAGGCCTTGATCCATCTGGTCTAGTGGGAGGTGTCCCTGCCCATGGCAGGGGTGGGTTGGGACTAGATGATCTCTAAGGTCCATTCCAACCCCTTGTCATTCTATGATTCTATGATTCCATGTATCAGATAATTAACAAATTCCACCCTCAGGGCTGCTGTCCTGAAGTCCATGTAGAGTTTGGCGGGCAGCACCCAAACATTTCATTGTGTCCACCTGGGACCAGCAGTCCATCTACACCACATGGTCCCTGAGGGCTCTGAAAATGCCTTGCAGGGAGGTCTTAGTGACCATCAGCAGAGGAAAAATCACCATCTGACTGAGACATGGGCAAGTCATCTCCAAATTTGTTTTCTGCTGCTCTCAACCCTTTAGAAAGTCCCTGTCAAGGCTGCTGCCAAAGCTGGGGGATATGCACCAGGCAGCACAGGACAAGCTGGGTGCTGTTTGCTGCTCCAGAAGTTGCTCCCATGCTCCTGTGTGTCCACCTAAGACAAGACCTGAAAGAGGCCTCAGTTTTGGTTATCATTCTCCTGGCACAGTTCTCCACACTACAGAGAGCTGCCTGCTGCAGGGCACCAGGGCGTTTAGCATCTCCTTAGAATTTTTAACTGTTTTCCTGTTAAATGCCTGATGGTATCTCTTAGATAAAACCAGGAGGGATTTAGTCTTCTCTCCCTCCTGGTTTCCCTCCCCTCTCTCCTTTCTTCCTCTCTCTCTCCCTTCCTCCATTTCTTCCTTTCATCCTTCTTCTCTTCATCCCTACCTTGCTCTTCTTCCTAAAAATTTATTAATTTCTTCCTTATTGCATTGCCCAAACCCCCAGTCAGTCACAGGCAGCACCAGACAATGAGAAACTCGATGATAAGGGCAAAACCAACAGTAAAACTAGAGTGAAATGACAGTCATAAAGCTGGTACCAGGAGGGACTGTAAAACTGCAGTTTGGCAGGAGCCAGCAGGCCTGGACCAATAACTTTTTTCTGATTAAAACACTCTGGTCACAGATTAACTTCCATTGCTCAATATTTATTGTCTCACCTGCACTGTAACATAGCGAGGAGAGGAAGAGGGGTGGGGCAGGATTGGAGGCTCAGGATCTGCAGCATGTCTGCAGCTCTGCACCCTCTGTCAGCTGCCAAGGGCATGGACATGTAGTGAAAAATGATAAATGTGCCTCCAGAAGTTGTCCTCTACCCTTAAGTGCTCGTGCCAAATGGTCTCTGTGCAACAGGGCAGCATCCTGGACTAGGATCCCAGAACTCACCTATGGCCACAGAATTAGTCAGGATCAGAGCTGGGTGTGCTCTGGGACTCTCAGACACGCAGGACAGGCATGACAATGGAAGCAGCCACTGCCAGAACCTGGGTGAGCACATTGGTCTGTCTCAGTCGAGACAAAGCCCCAGCAGCTTTGGGGAAAACATGTCCCTTGGCAGATTGAGCCATTTCCTTCAGTGGCTTCAGAAAATGGGATGGAAATGAGAATAAATTCCTGGCCCTCCCCCCTCAAGCATCTCTACATCTTTGCATCCTGAACTGGGTGTATCCCTTGCTCCTTGTGGGACATGCTAGCCTAGAGCAGAAGCACTCCCTTTCCTAATCACTCACAGACGTATCAATGTGCTATAGAGGATGCAAACACCTTCATGGGACCTCGATGCATTTTTAATGCATTCATTCCATGCTTGAGTTTTGTCGCAGCTCCTCTCACTCTCCCAATCACCTGCCCCAATCACTCTTCCAGAACAACTCAGGGCAGGGATTAGAGAGGATGTATCTACACTTATACCGGGACTCAGAACAAGGATGACCCAATCACAAGGACACTTTTCCCAGGATCCTGACAGCTTTCCTGCAAAAATGAAATGGCATCAAGGAACACCCCTACAGGGAATCCCAATAGGTCTCAGTTTCCCTTTGATGCTTCCAGGTCAGGAGCAACAGCCCAGTACGCTGCAGCCCCTCCACTTCCCCCATCCCTCGCCCAGCTAGACCTTTTTAATCTCCCTGCTATAAATCACTTTTTAATTACAACTGGACTGTAACTACCAAAATATAAAAGGCTTCAGGGCTTTACAGCACACCAGCAATGGTTCCCGTGAATTGCAATGTATTTCCATCCTCAGCAGCTCCACTTGCACCAGCTTGATGCCTCCCTCCCTGTGCCGTGGGAGAGGCTCATTACTCCCTTCCAGCCCTTCACACCTCCTTGCACAAGCTAAAAATATCAGCGCAAGAGGAAGTAGATTCAGTGTGAGGAAAGGGGGAGCTCAGTGTAGCTAGGGTCCAGCTCTCACACCTGACTATACCCCCTGCTCCTCCTCTAACTGCTGCTGACTTCCACTCTGTTTCAGATTTAAGCAGGGGCTCTAAGTTATTTTTTGAAAGCTAATTATCAGGTCATCTCTGGGATTTTTAGCAGGAGCTAAACTCCAGCAGCTACTACCTGCAGCAGAGGGCATCCTGGCACGGGTACCAGCACTCCTCAGCAAACACTGCCTCCCCAGCCTCCACCCTAAATCACGACACAACAAACACGCTGTTCATTAGGTGCTGTTTAATTAAGCAATATGGATCCTGCCTTGATATTTACAATCCCACTTGCCCTGATTTATTGGAGAGAGTTCTGTTTTTAAAGACGGTGACTGTAAAGTTTAACACTGCTTGACTTAACTGCGAGTTTCATTTACGGCCACAGGCCGAATCACAGCAGCCCAGGCTGGGAGCCCGTGGGCTATTAAATCAGAGCTAACTGCGCATGCAGGGAGATGACTAGCTTTGTTACAACCGGTTCAGCGGCTAATT